GTTTACACAGCTATGGAAATGAGGACCTAGACAGCTATTGTTTTCTCTAAAGCCAGCTGTAATTACTATAGACTAACCCTAATCCAGATTATTCCCCTAAAAAAGGTTTTGCATTGAAAGACATTGGGCTATGTATTTCATTTATGAATTGTTTTTACCATCTTAAAGGTTCTTGGATGTCCCCAAGTGAAGTTTTGTCCAAATTAGCTTGCTTCTGGGCACATTTCTTTCACCAAACTAATTCTATTGCTAATTGTACACACATACACACACAAACACACTGGCCAAACAGACAACCCTACAGCTGATTCTGCCCCAGCAAAGCAAATAACTGTTAATCAGGTCAATAAATTAAGCACAAAATGATACACAAAAACATATTCATGCAGCATATACAATTTCTGAATTCAGCATGTAATAGTTTGTTAACCTCCGTGATACTTTGTTGGTTTCACATAATTCATTAAAAACATTGAAATAGGTTAAACACTGGACCAGTATGGACATCTTGGACCAGTTTGTGGTGAAAGTGATAAGGTGAGTCTGTTCTCTGTTCACATTAAGAACGATAACTTTAAAGAAAACTATAATAATAACTATATAAGCATCCACGCCAACGCAAGATAACATTCTATTTATTATAAGCATGCACTGCAGTTTTGTCATCTGCTACTTTACATGCTCAAGCTCTTTAAAGTCTGGTGGATTCTGATTGGCTGATTGTCAATGTTTTTATCGTTTAACAGCTGGACAAAAAAAATCTGAAACTGCTTCCAATGATATTGTTCCTCTGTGTCGTTATTGCTATCGTTGTGGCATATTCTCATTGAATTGGAATGATTATTAAAACTTTATTGTTATAGTTATTGTCCTTGGTGTGAACAGGCCGGGTGCTGGGGGGGGTTTTTCCCAAAAGCATCATTAGCAAACTATGGTCGTTAGTTCCATTGAACTCTATTGGTAACGACAGAACTTGCGACCATAGTTGCTTTTGGGAAACGTTTTCTATAGAAAAGCCAGCCATGAGAATCTCTATGTCTAGTCATGTCCTAACACACACCAGCCACACACAAAACGAAACATCAAAACACTTAAAACAACAAGAAATGATTGGATTGTGAAAACTTTGTGTAATCGACCAATCGAAGCACTGTGGTTGAATATTATTATTATATATTTTGATGAAAGATTAATACAAAGACATCCTTTTTTATTATTGTGCACTGATTAATTGTTCACACAGCGAGCAAGTAAGTACATTACATAAAAGGATGGATTTTGATTTCATGTTTTTTTAAAGCATGCAGGATAAGAATAGAAACGGTTTCTAACAGTATCAGTGGAGCCCAAACTGTAATCTCAGATAGTTTTGGAAGTGAGAGAGACTTTATGGCTTGCCAACCTCATATCTCCCAGCAAACCCCTTCATCAGGTCTGCCATAAACACCAGAGACGCTTTCATAACACCACTAAACACCTGTGGCTGCCTTTACATCCCCTTACCCCCTCGTCTGAGACGTTCACGCAATGAGCCCTTTAATAAAATCACTCAGTACAGTTATTTATTCCCCTCTGGAAAGGTTAGCGGCAGTCAGCAGGGTTAACCTGTAAACAGAGCAGGGTTGCTGGGATATCCAGGCAGGATATAAGAATGAGGGGACAGAGAGGGACGTTCTGCCCCTCCAAGACAATAAAAGAGGAGGGAGGGTGTGTTTTTATCTTTGAGCAACATGCTGTAAAACACACACAAAGCTGTGATCGGAAACAATGGTCCTGGGCTGTGTGTGTGTGTGTGTGTGTGTGTGTGTGTGTGTGTGTTTGTGGTGTGGGGGGTTGCAGGAAGGAAGCCAACTCAACCCCCCCAGACAAGACATGGTAAGAAGAACAGAGAATCAAGGGTTTGGAGGAAATGGAGACCAAATGTTTAATGCAACATCAAGCCTCAATAATAATATGCTTACACATGAGAATGCTTTAAAGTTTGGACATTTCTAGAAAGGATCCATGAAACAATTACACAAACCAGTCATGATGGTGTTTAAACAGTTCAAATTAAGGCACATAAAGAGTAGAAATAGGCCTAGCTAGGTTTTTTTTTGTTTTTTTGATTTCCTTTAAAACAATGTGAGTGGTGTTGATGCTAAGGTCATTGTGGTTGCTTGGGTTGTTGGTAAAGTTTAAAAGCAACTTTTTTTTACTTATTGGCTCAAGTCAAAACAGTTCACACTCTTAAAAATTGGCATTGAAGGTTCAATGAAGAACCTTTAACATCCATGGAATGGTTCCATTGCACATAAAGGTTCTTTATAGTGGAATAAGATTAATGTTTTTCACACTAAGAACAGTTCTTTTAAAAACTGTTCACTGAAAGTTGTTTGGGGAACCAACCCAAAATGGTTCTTCTATATGTTATTCTGGTTTCTAGATATGGCCTTTTTCCTTTAATGAAGGTCTATGACAGTCCAAATCTCAATGCTAATCAGGAACACCTCAGTTCCAAATGAACGGGATTCTAAAGAAAAAAAACATGACAAAGTCACATTTTCAACGCTCAATTGAGATTCATTTGATATCTTCTCCTGTAACAGGTAAGGTGCTATGCCACAAAACATTTCCCAGAGATTAGCACACAATGGCAACTTCAATCCCAGCATAAGCATCAAACCAAAAGGAACAACCGAAATAACCGAGAGAGGAGAAGTGAAATTGAGAGCTTTCTCCGAAACGAGCCCACATTTCATAAGTCTTTGAGGAACATCGCCGTTTCAAAGCCAAGAGAGTGTTGCGACAGCAGCCTCTGTCTCTACAAGCCTCCGAGTCCAATAGCAGCTGAATAATAAAGCCACTGAGAGACACCACAGAAGGTCTTTCACTGAGCCTGGATCCCAACCTGCATCTGAATGCATTTGTACATCAATTCCCTGAAATATTCATGTTCTTTGTAAAGAATTCATGTGAGGCCATGAGGGAGGCAGTCCCTGGAGGGATAGAGCAAATCCACTAACGCAGCTACACCCCCTTTACACCTGTGGGACGCTATTGACCGGTCTGTTCACTTAATGAGAGAAAAACTGGTTTGGTGACCATCCAGCTTGGTTTGGACGGTTTTAGCTTAGCCTTCATTAAATAAACAGTGGTATTTGTTAAGTTACATATACATTAGTGGTAGACTAATTTGGGATTTTTTTTTAAATGTGATGTTTATTTTATTTTTATTTTTTATATGTAGGTATTTAATATTTTGTTAATAAATATTTTATTGCTGAATAATAGGTTGATTGACACTGTGGTGCTTTCAAAGCATTACATTGTTTGAGCGTCCTAATCAGCTCAATTGGTAATGTAAAAAACCTGTGCTTTTCATCAACCTTAGACAATACAAAATTGCCCTTCGTCATGGTCTAGAATGAAGGTGTAGCGGTGGTGGTGTGGTAATAACACACAGGTTGAATGTCACCACATGAATCAAGCATGAGACATGGTTGAGACGGTAATATTCCAGACAAAGCTATAAAACTCTGAGCTCTGCGAATTCTATCTCTAGGTACAATACCTCACCTGTCTCAATCATTGAACAGTGATGACAGTTAAGGGCACGGCTGCATGGTGGCGCAAGCTGTGAGTGTACGACCAAAAAGACATTGTCATATCCGGTTAACAGCACACCTGCGCCCTTTAGCTAACATTAGCCTAAATACTCATTGCCCAAGACCAAATGAACACATCTACCACTATAAATATAAGTGTACATGAGTGTATGGAAACTGCTGGAACAATGCCTTATTGTAGATATTTTTCATATATTTGATTCAGAAATAACAAGACAGGTTTCTTTTTAATACATTTTAGCAGTCTAAATTAGGTTATAATAATCTATAAGCCCAATGGTTATTCTAAATAACTCTAAAATCATAATCTTTGAAAGGTTTTATAAATCTGTTTGTTCCCAAAAACCATCTAAATGCAAGACACTGAAAGGCAATATTTATGCGACTTGGAACATTAAGGCCTTAGTAGTGCAAAACAAGCATAGTCTTCATTTAACTGACTTAGATTTATTATTGTCTATATGGATGGTGAATTGCCTAAGTATTGCCTTAATGATGAGCAATGCAAAATGGACCATGTGGATCTTTGTTCAAGAATGGCGCAAAATATTAAGGAAATTGCATCTGACTGAACCTAATTACTCATTCAGTAACACTGCAATACTGTATTTTGTTCAAATAAACGGAAAGCTCGAATTTAGGCTATTAACTTTAAACATTAAAATATTTCATCGGCAATACTCAAATAATAAATCACTACAAATGCAAAATAATAATAATAACCAAAATAAAAACTAATAAATAATAGCCTACATAAATACAATATTTAAAAGATATCACGTAGCCTATAACGTTCGTTGTTTTAATCTGTTCTTAAATCGTAATTTGAGGGGCAATTTATACACTACCTTACAGAAAACATTAGCTGTTATATGCCGAATATCCTCATAATTGTTGCCTGTCACGATTCATATTAAACCGAGATGCGCTCATCTCTTATCAAAATCACATTTACACCTCCACAATTCAGTTCATGTAGACACAAGGATTTAAAGTCTCAAGTCTGGACTTAATCAGCAAGAATATGAGTATAACAAACAAAAAATGTAATATAGGCTTGTCTATCTATCTACGTTGGTTCTTTGTAGCGCCTAAAATAAGCAACATAATAATACAAAATAAATAAACCTTCTCTAACCAGATTTTAGAGTAGGCTATATGGTTCTTGAATTGCTATGTGGATTCAAATGTCTTTGATGTTAGGCTACATTATAGGTTTTTTCAGAGCTGTGTAGCCTACTATATCATAAGAAATCCTAAACAGCCTAAATAAGCAATAATCAAATACAGGCCTAATCTAAACATGGACATTCGCTATTCTTTGAAATAGTGTGTCAAATCTTTATTGAGCTTCCACAGAAATGCCAGCGAATAAAAAAAAACGCAACAAACCTGAATGCGCCGCCATCGGTAAGTGAGATGGATAATATTTCCCGGCTGGAAAATGAGGTGCATGTTGCACAGAGCCGTGGCCGGAGGAGGAGATGCGAGAGGCGGCGCGATGCACTAGAGTGGCCCGCTCTGAAAGGAGATGTGCTGGAGCGGAGAAATCACGACCCTCCATTCCAAAGAAAACATCCGATATAATCCAAAATCAAGCGGAAATCAGATTAAACCTATGTACTGTAATCCGTCTGCGTTTGCTTTAGTGGAAAGCTCGCCTCTCCTGCTCAGGTTGAAGTCCTCAATCATCTTTTCTACAAAGAAAGAAAGAAGAGACGTTATAATCTCAGTGTGGCACACCACCACAGCTGACATGCATCTGCTTCATGCTCTCAGTATTCGACACATAAAAGAAAACTGCGATACAAATTGAGACCTAATTTTGATGCACATTCATTTAGAGAAGAACTGCATTCGTTTTTTTTAAGCGTCCATTGAAATGTGAAAGCGATGTGAAAAGGCCATAGATGGCAGTGATTGAATAGGCCTAATAGAGACCGATCCTTTGTGTACGGATACGTGATAAAGATGCACACCTTTTCTAGGAAGCAGAAAAAATATGTTTTAAATTGAAATAGTGTGACTTCATGTTTTCTAAGTGCACGCATGCACACATATGATGGCAAACAAACGATATGAAATCAATGGGCTTGACAACAAGTGACTTTTTTTTTTTTTCCCAGAATAATGGATGTCTTGACTTCTGCCCCGTCTGTTTTTATTGTTAGACGACTTAAATAAACCATTTACGCATTAATGAAATCTGATCAAATAAATTATATAGTGTTTTTAGACATGTGCATGATGTGAATGAAAAATAAAACATTGATTAGATGCATATACATTAAATAATATAAAAAAATTAATTGTGGTATTTTATATACAATATTTTATATCATAATGTCAATATTTTGTTTTACATATAGTAGTGGGACATGCACTTTGAATAAACATGGCATCAATTTACTTTTAATAAATAGTATACACAGCCCATTATGATTAAATCAAAAAGGCAACAACATATAACCAGTAAATACCATTTGCTAACAGAAACCAATTTTGTACGAGTCCTTTTTTGTTTTTATCAGAATACACTGAAAGACAAGTCTGTGTGTGTCTGTGAGTGTGTGTGTGTGCGTGCGCATGTAAACAACTGCAATTTCCTACCCATTATGATTAAATCAAAAAGGCAACAACATAGCCTATAACCAGTAAATACCATTTGCTAACAGAAACCAATTTTGTACGAGTCCTTTTTTGTTTTTATCAGAATACACTGAAAGACAAGTCTGTGTGTGTCTGTGAGTGTGTGTGTGTGCGTGCGCATGTAAACAACTGCAATTTCCTTTCATCTGGTTGAACTGTTTTATGTGGAGCAATTAAACCTAACAGAACCTTGCACACAATATATCTTGTGTCGAGTTCCAGCTAATATTGTAGTAATATTCATTTGTTTTATCTGTTCCCTTCAACAAGACTTTTGTGCTCTCTCTTTCTGGTAGACTAGATTGGAAGAAAATGCAGAATGTCACACGATAAATGAATTATTTCAGTGGGTTCCTTAACTGATATACGCGGACTACTATCAATTAATGCATTTTCAGAAAATATACAACTGCAATAAATTCAGTGTTTTCCGCTGTAGCAGGCCATGCATGCAAACCAAGGTGGCCTTAACAGCAAGCAGCTTTTGTCTCCGTGTGAGGACTGCTGCTCTCCGTCAGCCATTACCGTGCAGCTCCAACGCTCCACAACAGCCGTCCATTTCGAGCACACAACATTCAATCACACACTGCATGCTTTGTTTTAATCTCAGCTTTTGCATGCAACTGAATACTTAAATGCATTGTATCGGCATCCGACTCGTGAATGTTGTTAAATATTTGCATAATTCCGATGCAAATAGCAGTTGCTTTTGTCTCGTGCATGACAATGCACATAGTGAAATGCTAGACAATGTGTCTTTATATATCAAAGCCAGCAAAAAGCACGAGTCAGCTGGCGAGCTTTTGTTCATAGAAGACAGAAACTCACAAAGACAATAACATGATTTTTATAGCTTGTCTGTCGGTAATGTTATTCGGCTGGGAGAACGCCGCTGCCCGGACACAAGCAGTGAAACGAGCCTGTCTCATGCCGATCCGAAATAAATCAGAATTGATCATTACAAATAAGTATTGCTCAGCGAAGAAAAACACCGATCTGAATATGATAATAAAGGACAACTGGAAATTTGGATGGTGCACGTTTCACTTTTATTTTTTCCTTGTCATGTTTCAAATCAGGGACTGCGATGCAATACCTTTAGAGAAAATATTTTAAATTTAACAATAAAAAAGAATTCATAGATATAATAAATAGTGAGCAGAAAAGCGCAAATAGGCTACTACAATATCAAATAACAGATGGAATTTTAAACATGTACGTGATTACAGTATATTCATGAAAATATCACTGGTAATTTGAGCAGTAAACTGAACAAGGCCGTACAAGCTTTAACTGAGAAAGAATAATTTCACAAAATTACTTATTACACAAATGCCTTATAATATAAATAAGAATCTTTAAATGAAGCGAATAAATGCGGGCTGTAGCTACAATTAAGTGCATATATTTATTAATAATTTTATATTTATAGGCTTTCCATTTCCCCTTTGGATGTTGCACCATAGTTGTTTGTGCTGTTTAGTTAACATTATTTTCTTTATTTCTTTGAAGGTCTTTTTGTTTTTATTCGAGGTTAGGCGACACAACCATGACATTAAAAAAATAAATTAATTACTTACTGGTATGTTATATCCTTGCATAACAATAAATAATTTTAATTAGAAATCAAGAAAAGTATTCAGAGCAATGCTGTCGCTTATTCTAAAAAGCATATTTCAGTGGCTCGGTCCTAATTCCCCTCATACGATTGCAGCAATTGTCGTTCGCCGGTCTCGGGCTTCTCTAGGCCACTGAAGTCGCGAATCGAGTCTCGGAGCGGCGATCCTCTTGTCCGGCGCCGATCTTGCCTCTCAACTCCGCGAGAGTAAACACACGCGCTGATTGGCCAGATTCACGAATGATAATGAGCTAGCGTCGCTCGCCTGGGGACACTCCGCGCTCTGATTGGTCGAAATCTGTGACCAATAGGAATTCGCCGTGGAGAGCGAGAGCAATGAGGCGAGCGGCAAATTCAAGCGAAATACTAAAGACAGGTTACAATGTGTTAAAACCTTAAATAGTCCTTTGCAAACGAGCACAGGATTCCGACCTGGAGAAGATTACTAGCCGCTGTCTTTAATAACATCCAGCAGGTATGTATAATGTATTTTCATTAAAAAAAACATCAATCAATACTTGTGACAAATTAAAACAAACACTATTTAGCATAAATGCCATAGAGCCTTCTTTAAGTGCGACAGATTCATATATAGGCTACCTTAAGTATATAAATGACTGCAACTGCACTGTATGTTATTTTGCATTAGTTTATTTAACGCTAATAGCCCGTGTGTGGGTTTATGAGCATGCTTTTAAAAAAGGCTGCATTTGGAGGAGGATTTGATTGGTTGGCACGACAGCGTATTGTCACTCACGGAGTGTAAACAAGACTCTGATTGGCTGCTCGCCAGTCCGCATTGGAAAAAAAATAACTGGATCTGCGGTCTCAAGGCGTCCCAGGTTAGATGATGAAAACAGATAAGAAGGAACCGTTTCAAGGCGCTCCAAAAGGCGGACCCTCTGTGGCCCTGGAGCTATACGCGGAGAACACAAGAAGAAGTGCAGAAAGAAATGTTCGATATGTTCGAATATCGAATTCGTTGTGCGATACTTTCAGACCTGGAACGGAGAAACATGATACCGATTTCTGGACACATCGGTAAGAATTAAGAAAAACGGTAAAAAAAACAAAAAAAAAACAAGAAGTGTTTGGATCAGCATTACTCGAACTCATTTATTCTGAGCGACAGATAAATCAAGAATAATGCCCGATAGAATTGAAACAAGGATGCATGAAAACGCTACGCTAGATATTTTACGACAATATATAAAAGATTTACAAAAAGAAAAAGGAAAAATGTATCAGACTGTTTTCTTCAATCTGTTTAGCTGAAAGACATGTGCTCTTCAAAGAGGAAATGTGCTTTTATATATATATATAGCCTAGTATATAACCTATATTTAAATAATATACTGAAATCACACATTCTAATTTACATTGTCATTTTGCCTACGTAATGTTTGAGATTTCCAGGTCTCATGCACAGCTCTTTGGGCAAAATTCTAAAAAAAAATATATATATATATATTATTTTTCTCTCAAATCTGATCCTGTAGAGTGGTGTAGTGACGTTTATATTCTGGAATGTGTATTGAGAAACATTTAATGCATTGTATTTTTTTCTTCGCACCGTTGTGACCATGTGTCAGCATGAATTATATGTGCAGAATTGTATATATGTAGATATAGAATGAGTGATTTCCCTATAGAAAGAAGAGCAAATCAAGAGGACTGAATGACTGGTCTCTGATTGACAGTCCAGCTTTAGCTCTCCAGCTCAAAGGAAGCAAGAACTTGGTTTCTCTGAGGAGATACAAAAGGGTTTAAATGGACTTTTTATATTTCTGTTTTTGTGTAAATGGTATAAATATACCAAACGCCTTTTAAAAATCACTCAAATAAGGTATTTTTCCAAAAATAATGCTACATCATGCAGTAGGTTCACCTTACAAATGGAGCCTGGACATTGTTTGTCATGCAAAACAAATGCAATTATTTTTAATAAATGTGTGTGTGTGTGCATCACATTCAGTCCAGTTGTCTTAAAATATAGATGGATTAAATAAACCAATGGACAAGACTGCATAGGCCCAAACACCTAACTACAGTATTTGCATCTGATAAAGTCTGCTCTGAAGCGCTTAGAAAAAAAAACTGAATTTGCTGATGATGCCACTTCAAAGCAATTTTTACACCCAAATGAGAATTTGTCTGTGTTAGGTCTGAATTTAAATGTATTTAGTCCACATTGGTTACTGATTAAAAATAATAATAATAATAAAATAAAATAAATTTTGTTCTCTATACTCTTCAGTGAAAATATGGTTGATGATACATGGAATATTAAAACATATTATTTATTTGGTAGACTATACTACAGAGGTGGGAAATCTATGTGCAGTTATTATAAACAGTACATGTAACCAACCATTACATTACATTTGATTATTTTTGTAGTTATTGATTCTTGTCTTAATGTGAATATTAGATGTTCTTTGTATAACCTGACACTTAGATGCTAAACACGAATATAAACATCGACAGACCAGCCAGCAAGTAATTTCTGGGAAAGCCTTTTTACAGACCAGTGTTCTGCTTGCTTTAATAAACAATTGTAGCCTAAGTGATATAAAATTGATCTGTCATATATGATCATGTGATTGCATATGACAGATCAGTTTTACCAGTGCTGATCATCTGGGAACTTTATTTAATATTTTATTAATAAATCCTAGATGGATGGTACTAATAATCACTCTGTAACTTTAAATTTACCAACCCCCAAACACTGACGTCAGCTGTCTCAGTTAACCCCTTTCCTGCCATTTGAGTATCTCTATGTTCTGTATATTAATTGTTTTATGTATTCCACACTAATGTGCTTGCTTTTTGTTTGGAAATAAATAAATGTCAGACTGTACTTTTATTAAAAAAAAAAAAAAAAAAAGTTAGATTTTAAGTGTTTCCAGGATTTGGACAAAACCTGGAAACTTTGGAATTTGGAATTTGATGACACAAAATCCTGAAGCATAATCCATCTGAAATTGTATACAACAATAAAAAGCAATAGATTTCAGCAGGATTTTAAAATACATTCTCATATGTAAAATATATATCCAAGATTATAATAAACCAAAATCATGAGTTTCTGCTTTCCACTCAAAATATGCTGTCTGTGTGGAAATTTGTTTATGTATTAATTAGTATTACACACTTTATAAATTCACTTTAGCACTTTCAAGCATCATTCAGTTAAGCATTTGTAATCATAAAGGGATAGTTTACCCAAAAATGAAAATTAATTTACTCACCTTAATGTATGACTACCAAACTTGCATGACATTTTCTGTGGAAAAAAAGGAGAAAAGTTGAATTCATACAGGTTTGGAACAACATGAGTATATGTGAGTGCTTATACTGACACCTAAAGGTGTGGATGAAACATCATGCACAAGCAAAAGTGTTGTAAAACAATGAGAGTTACTGACATAAAGTGAGCATTATTTGACCAGCATATATCTGCCCCTATGAGGCAAACCCCTTCACGTGCAATAATATATGTAGCCTTCGATCCCTATGAAGCAGTGTTACCAACCCTGTTCCTGGAGGCACACCACCAGTACAAATTTTCTAAAACTCGTCCTAATCAAACACACCAGATTCAACTCATTGCCTCATTAGTAGAGACCTCAATACCCAAAAATGGTGGGTCAGATAAGACATCCAAAATGTTTATTGTTCATTTGCTTCTAAGGCTGCATTCCACTTTTTTTTCTTTTATAACCTTCCCTCACTTTACTTTCATGTTATTGATTACGTTGCACGAGGGCCCACTTCTGGTGAAACTCTTGCAATGGCTGAATTGGAACGTCCTACGCCCTTGAAACTTGCAAATCCGCTATGGGGTATATAAAAAAATAATTAATATATCATAGAGTTGTTTGGGGTGGGATAAATTAAACACAATCTGCCCTGATGTCACAATTGTGTTGCATTGTGGTATATGGAGCTGCCTGATGTGTACATATGAAGTACATTCGCTCCCTTGGTCAAAATCAAAAGGTTGAGGGCCTGTCCATATAAACTTCCCTCAACCACTTCACGAAGTGGAACACACTTCAAAATGGCAGCAGGGATTTCCCCGAGGGGAAGTGCTTAGGGAAGTTCACGAGAGTGTGTCTAAAAGCGAAGTGGAACACGACCTAGGAATAGGGCTGGGAAATACTGCCCTAAAGGATCATGGTAGCCAACCCTGCTTCTGGAGGCATACCTTTCTGCAGACTTCAGTTCCAGCCCTGCTCCAACACACCTGCCTGTTATTTTAACTTAACCCTGCACACTTAGATTAGCTTACTTAGATGTTTTTGATTAGAGTTGGGGTTAAACTCTGCTGATTGGAATGGAAACCTTATTTCTGTATTCTGTGACCAGCGTTTCTCAGCTCCAGGCTCTGGCACCAACCTCCCAGAATGTTTTATTTGTCTTTCTATTTAACACAATAACAAGCTGATGAGTTAAATCAAGTTTGAATCAAGCTGATGAGCTGAACCAACTTTAGATGTCAGTTATTCAAAACATTCTGGGAGGTGGGTCCTGAGAAATGGAGTTGAGAAACACCGGTTTAAACCAGTGTTTCCCAGCACTTTTCCTGGAGGCACCACAACTCGTCCTAATCAAACACACCTGAATCAGCTCATTACTAGAGGCTCCAAAGCCTAAAATGGATAGGTCAGATAGGATTTCCAAAATGCGTACAGTTTTGGTGCCTTTAGGAAAAGAGTTGTGAATCACTGGTTCGGTCATGTCCAGTCCTGATCTTTTAGGGCCAGTTTTGCTCCAACCACAATTGAACACACCTGAAGAAGCTTATTAAGGTCTTCAGGCTCACTAAAAACTGCCAAACAGGTGTGTTGGTGCTAAACTCAGCAGGGAAGTGGCCCTTCGGGAGCAGCAATGGGCAATTCTGGGCTGCGTTCCACTCCACTTTTAGACACACGCTCGTGAACTTCCCTAAGCACTTCCCCTTGGGGGAATCCCCGATTCCATTTTGAAGTACGTTCCACTTCGTAAAGTGGACGAGGGAAGTTTATATGGACAGACACTCGACCCCTTGATTTTGACCTAGGGAGCAAGTCTGCTTCATATGCACACTTCAGGCCGCTCCACAGACCCCAATGCAACACGATTGGGACGTCATCGCAGATCGCGTTTAATTTATCCCCACCCCAA